GGATAGCAGCTGAGACTACATCGCGAGGGTCATGAAAGGAACCGGTATGCGAAGTATCATGAGTGATTATGTGCCCTGAATGCAGAAGTCAGTGTCTTGAAAAGCGCTTATCAAAACCTAGAAAGGAATACTTTGATCCTCAGCCTCAAAAACAACAACATAAAGCAGCTCAAATATGGGAAGTAAGGAGGATGAAAGCAAAGCAATAGCTATGATTTGCCCAAAGGTCCATTCGTTTTCCTCATAAAGATTGGAACTGCTCAGATCCTTGAGGTTTTTGATGCTCAAGGTCCCCCAGATTGCAGAGAGTAGAACAGAAAAAACCTGGAAGATTTTAAGTCAGCTGGGCTATTGCCGTTCATCATGCCAGGTGCGAATTCAACCGTCCATACCTCGGCGAACATTGATGTGTAAAGGTGTACAAACACTCGAATAGTGCAGTACACAGAAGCCTGTACAGGGAGCAAACACATTACTGTGACAGTCGCTATTGGTGCTGATCCACGGCTGAGCAAACGTTCCAATATTCGCATCCATGCTACGTATCCCCGATCCAGGACGCTCTGGATCTGTTGAGAAACGACCTTACTAGAGCCTTCGAAAGTCTTTGAAGCCCTTATCAAGTAGCCGTATAACAAAAGGAGAAGAGACGATATCATCGAGACAAACGCATCGGTGGATGTTTTCATTCCCGTTTTGAAATAGCAAACCGCGGCCGATTCATAAAGTATCGCGATCTCGACCCTATCTTGAATCTGTCCCCCATAGTAGCTTTGGATACTCCTCCTGAGTCGGAGATACTTTTCTTGAAAAAAGTTGATCGTGTCTGAAGCAATACTGGGCTGAAAGATCTTTTTGCCCAATATCGTACAATTTGCTGGCCCAACTGTTCCATTTCTTAGCAACTCGGCGTCCAATTTCGTTAGGTCATCGTTTATCCTAAAAGGATAGTCGGTATAGTAATTGCTTGTATTGTAGTCTTCGCAATCCTGAGGATATGTTGCTTGTCCTAGATCGATGAACTTGGTATATCTGATCTGGTCCTCAGCGCCATCAAGGTGGCCATCGGCGTCCAAGTGACCAGTAAGGAAGTTAAAGTGTCCTGTCGGTATGAAGCCAATCGAAAGAAGGATCAAAAGTATTAGCATCATTGCGAGTCGCCAAAGACGCCTTCTGGGATGTTTCGCCAGATAGCTCCTCAAGAAAGATAGTGCTGAAAGATGAGTTACGCTCGAGAACCATGCCAGAGATATGACCATCTTCCAATGGTAGGCACTCAGTCCTTGGTCTTGCTTTAGGGACATGTAGCCGCTAACGAGAATTGAGATTCCTGTAATCAACTGTGTATCTGCAAGGGAAAGAATGCACTTTGACGTGTAAACAGAACAGAAATCTATGTAGGTAGAGCGGAATTAATTGCTGACCTTGTGAAAGGCGTCTTCTATCAAACCCCCACGATAAATCTTGCGGAATCGTATATATTTCGTGTACTTCGCTAGCAACACGTCGAGCGGATTTGGGCAGTAGGTTGCCATTGAGCTTGTGCTTGAGAAGGGATCCGCATGTGGATCGAACGCAAAGATGTAATATGCGACCAGGATAAAGATCGTCAACCATGCGCTGATAAGGAATGCAAGAACAACCTGCAATTAATATGCCTGTTAGAAATCATTACCTTGAGCGCTGAGTATATGTGATGACTTACCCCGAGGCCGGCGATGTCTCCGTATGGCTCGAGAGGCTCAGGAATGCGGCTGCATACTTCGTATGAGAAATTCATTGCACTCATGTTTTAGCTGTGTAACTTTGGAGGGAGAATGTTAGATGAGCTTGTAGGACCTCGAGCGAGGCTCTTTAGTATCGAGATTTTAAAGGTAAGTAAGTCTCTGATCAGGCTGCGCTTGTGTTCCCTTAACTCATGCGGTCAGCTGCATGATTGCGTCACACTCGTGATCAAATATCGCTGAAAATAGATGGGCAGAGCAGAGCTGATCGCCTCGGCTACGTTAGTTGCATAAGTCTACTCGAAGCAACTAATCAAATCCTTTACATGCGAATGGTGACGGAAGAGGTAGGGGGTGGTGACTGACAAAGCTGAAATGATCAACCAGAGCTGCAGACTTGACGTTTTCTAAGGCCTGCAGAATTTTTTCAATTTTATTCTCTACAAACCGCAGACAGAGCCATGCCCATCGGTATGGATTCATTCCCCGTTCGTGCTATTCTTCACGTCGTATGGCCTAAGATCTACTTGCGGTGACGCTACCTTGGATCATCCCCTGTACCTCATACGGCGCGCGATATGACAGTCATTTGAAGCACGGATGAAAGTGGCTTACTGGGAGCTACGGCGTCGTGTCTCACACGGCAATGCTATTTGGGCGGCATGTCATTACCAGAATCGCTTTAGGTAGGGCTTGAGAGTTACTGTTTTTCTACGAAAGCACCTCAACTAAATAATGACCGTGGATTCCACAGTTCCATATACATTCTTTGTCTAATGAAAGTAGTAACCAAGCCCTGGGATATGCCGGTCATCGTCTCTACCGCCAACTTCCCGATATCCATGCGACTACTGATTGCTTGAACATAACACATTCACAATAGCAGAGTGCGAAGAACCTGAAGGTTTCTTTGTGAGATTAACTATCGTGCTGAAGTATTCAACATGAAATGTCGCATCAACACGTTTGTTTGATAAACTTTGCGCCCAGCACAAAATATTAAGGCATGAGTGACTTGAGAAAGCACGGTCATCATGTTTTCTACACTATATGTAACCAATTGATCTGAACATATTTGTGAGGGCAAATAATCTCGAAGATAATCAGTCGATGTGTGAATACTTTGGATACAGACAGAAAGGGCACTGCGATTTGATTGAAATCAAGGTAAGCTGCCACAACTTCAAGTCGGTTCAAGTCGGATGCTCTAGGAACGGTGAGTGATTTCTACCTTGGGTGCTTTGGCGTAAATTATTCAAGTTAAGCCAGGTAGCATAGAGCACATCGTCCTTATCTGATGTTTTCGAATACCCTCAGTACGAAAGTGATATTGCTATCCGCAGAAAGACGGGTGTAGTACCCCAGAGCCCTCCGGCCGCTGAGATTCGCGCCGCATTTTCCATCATAATGCCAATCAGTATTCTGGGGAATGGCTCATCCACAGGTACTTTTCGGCAAGTACATGTAGTCGGACAGATAGGGGTACTGATTTTCAACGTACCGCGGTACCAGATGGACGAGATGCTGCTTCAAATACACTCGAAGGGCTTCACCTAACTTCAATCAACTTCCCTGAAAACTTCTTGAACATCTTCGCGAGTCTATGAGAGAGGCTACTGGGGCACACATGAAAAAAGGACTGATAAATCACGAGTGAATAAGCGAACAACTACAAAGCGAACTGCCGTAGTGCATTTTGTCAGCAATTACTTGTTTCATGAAATCATCGTATAGAGACGTAGGGCGGATATCTGCTTGACATTGCTAGGCCAGAGAATTTCCTGAATATACCGAAGATAGGAGGCAATTAAGAGGGCCAACGCAGAGGTGGGGGCCAAATATTCACACATTAACGCCAAGACCTTAGAACACTCAGCAGATGCGACTGCTACTCCGGTTGAATGGGCATGGTTTTCCCAGTCTCATCGAGATGCAGCCAAATTGATGTGGGCACTGTTCATCGCGTCTCATCGGCTTTACTTGGTTGCCGAGACACGCTGACAAAGTCTCGAGGGTACCGACGAACACTGCCGAGGATTGGATGCGTTCACCTTGGCAGTTTACAAGAAAGTTTCATGTAGAAAACTTCGAGCGATGCCGGATCCCAGAGTGAGGTCGTCTATGGCTCATGTCGTGATCATTGCTGCCGACATCGAACAGCTAGGCGTCTTCCGTAGTACACGGAGTGAAGTACCTCGACCTGACTGATCATGACAAAACAAGTTCCAACACTGACAAAAGACATGTCCCCTGAAGTTTCGATATTGCATGACCTCAAGATCTTGATAAGGTGGACATCGACCGTGAACGAGTCATCCGCTGCTCCGTGCTCGCACGGCATATGAATTTTGTCCCTTTATCCCGGACAAAAACGATTACGTGCAGGCGATTCAAAAGCAATGCGTGATCGGCGTGCCAAGCCTTACGGTGCCACTTGCTCACCAATAGCAAGATCTTTATACGCCAGTGGATACCCCTCCCAACGTGGACTACCGGGATGAAGCTGATGGTGTAACGAGAGTGCGAGGCCTACGCGCCAGTCGTTTTTTTCTGGTTTCAAGGAAATTGAGGACCTGTTCCCATCAAACGGGTCTCAGGGGCGGACGGGTCGAGGAAATTCAAGACTGGAGATGAGAAGTCGTCCCAGACCTTTTCAGCTAGCACAACGATTGATTTAGTGAGTTGAATTCACTTATGTCTTTCTGGCTCGGTTGTCTCTGCAAAACAAGGTTCGAACTTTATCTGCGCAATTGAGTTCGAGTTGTCCAAACATCTGCCCAAGCTTCATTTAACTTTGCGCGTAACACGTGGGTTGCGCGGGCTTGGCGTTCGATTCAGACCCGCGGGCAATCGGGATAATTACCGGAGTGCCAAGACTAGGTACCCTCCAATATCAGCACTGCTTCAAATCCCGATGGTTTCACGAGTGCGAGAAAAAGATGTTGTTGACTCAGAGCATATCAATTGATGCGTCTAAGACTAATATATACACTGACGATGCTTTGTAAAACTGGTTGCCTCCAGCCGAAGCTCATTTCCAGGTCGAAAGGTGCCTAGGAAAGATCGTCGAGGCGAACTGATGTACAGTGAATATTGAAAAAAAACCGTCCGCATGATCGTGCAAGGGCAATGTCATGAGCGAGACGTGAGAAGCATTCCCTCCATGGAGCTCAAATCCCCTTCTAGGGTGGCAATTCGACAGGCCTGCCGTCTGTCTTTGCGGTGAACTTCACTCCCACACTACGCACCCGTGCGTTGATGATGTCGAGAAACCATTTAGTCGACGATGAAGAGGTCGCGGGGGTGGCTGCGCTTCTTGGAGGAGTAGACAGCGGGACCCGGGATGGGGTAGCTGGTGGGGTTGTTGTAGACTGCATGAATAATTAGCACGTTGTTGATGAGAAATGCACAGGAATAACTCACTGTCGAAGATGACACCGTCGTCCTTGGCGGTGTACAGGCTGGTGCCAGCAACACCAGTGGGGTTGGCAGAGCCACCACCAGTGACCTCGAGGTTGATGCACTGGGGGTAGAACTGGGCGCCGTTCTCAGAGCCGGCAGAGTGAAGAGCCAGGATCTCGTGGCGGAGGACGTAGTTGCCAGCGGCGATGTCGCTGGGGATGTTGACGGTCCACTCGAGGTTGTTGGAGAGGAGCTCGTCAGCGGCCCAGGTGGAGCCGGACAGACCCTTCTCGGCGATCTTGAAGAACTTCAGGTCGGCCTTGGTGGCGGAGGTGCAGTCGCCGGAGCACTTGGCGAGGTAGTCCATGATGGGACCCTTGTGGGAGTCGGGCCAGGTGTTCCACTGGAGAGGAAAACATTAGTTCAAGTCGGAGATAGGACCATGTCAGCGTGGTAGCTTACCTTGAGGGTGACGGTAGAACCGGCGGCAACAGAGATGGAGGAGGTACCGGGGGTAGCACCGCGGTGGCAGATGATGTCGGCGTCGCCAGTGGCGTCAGGGGCGACGAAGCCGAGGTCAGTGTTGGTGGCGGCCCATCCAGGGGTGGTGGGCTTGGTGCTCGCGTAGGGGTAGCTGGAAGGGTTGAGACCGTCGACGGACTTGCCACCAGCGGTGATCTTCTCGACGAAGCCGTGGGCAGAGACGACAGAGGCGCCGAAGAGGGCGGTAAGGAAGGCCTTGGAGTACATCTTGTTGGTTGTTTGGGTTTGTGTGGAAACGGGTGTTTGTGGGTAGTGAAGAGAACGGATGAAAAGCTCACAGAGCAAAGAGTGAATTGGTTCAAAGAAGGAAGGGTATGAGCTGGAGAGCAATGCTGGTGAAGTGAAGGACGAAGTGGGATGCTTGGAGAATGAGGAACCCGATTATCAGCGGACTGGACGAGTTCTCTTATACTCAGATCAACCGCTCGCCCAGACACGGGTTCAGACGTTGGGCTTTCCACATCGTGGAGTCAAGGACCGCAATCCCGTCTCCATCTCTCCTGAGTCCCGACTCCTGAGCTCCAGGCACGACCATCTCGCCCAAACCAGACTATCGCCCGTAAAAGGAAGTTGAGGTCTTGGCGGACGCGAGGTCGGAGTGCCTCCGTCCGCAGGCGTTTGCTCGGCCCCCAGCAGAGCACCGACAGACATTGGACGGACGACAAGGGCGGAGCGCCGGGGCTGGCCACCTGGACCACAAAACAATCTATTTCGCACGGGGGTAGTGGAGAGAAAAGTCTCGGCGCGATCGGCGGTCGGGGCCGGGGTTGTGGTTGGGCCAGTCACCGGGAGCGCTGCGCGGACAGCCACGTCTTGTGGGAGCAATGTCGGCCATGGATGGTCAGAGCCTGGGCCATTGTGGCAGACGTGAATGGCACTCGCTGAATGCATCCCGGGTGGTGCCAGCATGAGACCAAGACGGCAGTCGGGATGGTCTACCGGCCGCCCGCATGGTCAACCCCTTGACAACTAACGTTGACCGTTGGACCGTTGGTTGACGCCATGTTCCGGCGGCGGCCCCGACCCAGCGGCAATCGAAACTTAAGGAGGCGCCGCATCTATACTTCCAAACCTTGGACTCATCTATTGGAGTCGCACTGCGTCGTAACGTGTCGTTGGCGGATGGCATGAGGCTGACGGACGAATGCTCGCTACCACGCATTCATCGTCGCATTCACGATGAGACGCGACGCTGAGTCCGCTGGACCGGCTCACACTCTGGCAGTTGGACTGTCGGGAGAGCGAAAACGACGGAAAATCCGGGGAGTGCCGAGGTGATCGGCATCTATCACTGCATGACGCATTGGACGGGACCAGGGCGGCAAGCCGAATCGAGGCATCTTCTCGCGGGACGATAACTCCGTCAAGCCCCTTTTGGTGAAGAACCTGGAGGGTTTGGAGACGGCTTGAACATGGTGATCGCGTCAAAGATTCGAATCTGTGGAAACCGCAATTTTCGAAGATGCTGGGCAGGCCTCCCGGGGTCCCATTTACGGCCGTGGCGTTCTGTCATTCGCATGGGACAACGTCAGCAGTTGACAACGACAACTCGACCCGAACGTGAGCCACCAAGCGACAGGACCTGAAACAGGATGTCTGCAGGCATTTCCTTGGTGGGTTGAGTCGAGCCGAGCAGCGGGAGAGCAGAACTTTAATTAATGTTATTCTTAGTTTGTCAAATATAGGCCCTAGCTCCCTGGCTGCCACCTTTTTATCCCTGCAGACGCCCACGTCGCGCAATCAATCCGGAAGCAAGCGAGTGGAGGGCTACCTCTCCCAGCCCCAATCCATATGAAAAGGGATGAAACAAAAGCGGCGAAAAGCAAACAGGATTTTTTTCGGTGCAATCTTGCCAGCACAGAGTTCATTCGATGCGTTATGCTTAAAAAATTGGTCGTGGAGATTTTGTACAGTAAATTTGAACTCTGTTGTTGTTGCTTATCTCTTAAAAGACGTCGCCACCGCCTCACGTCCCACTCAAACAGAAGTGGCTGTGGCTGAAAAAGAGGATCTTTGAGATATGCACAATTTCTAAGCCACGACGGCATGACGACTTATGAAAGTCGGGCTTCGCACCGGGGTTTGCTCAGCCGGAGAGGTGTCGTTTGATGTAGAAGTCAGCTTTCAGCCCTGGTGGGCAAACGTCCCATTCACTGTGGAAACCCGACCTGCGCCTCGGGAAAAGGAAGAAGCGGAGCTATCACGAACGTAACACAGAATCTGGACGATACACTTGAGTCTCACTTCGGCGGTGATTCCGTTCGCTTACGGCCTAGATTCTAGCCATCATCGAACACCGTTGAATGGCCAGACTTCAAGCAACAAGGTGACATTCAACCTCACTCCACGATCCACCATCTGATGCAGGTTGCAACCTTCTTTCGCTGGCTCGTTTCTGGTTTCCAATATCGATGGTCGAGGCCTGCTTAGCTCTGCTGACCTTACTGCGGTAGAATGAGCCAAGCCAATGCCACGGCGAATTCAATTACCATGTGAGCTCGGGTGCAACACTAAACACGCAGTTTCTGAGGGCGAGTCATTCCCAAAGTGCCAAGGGCAGGGGCCTGTCCCAATGCGACGGTGGAATGTCTTGATCGGGTGAAAATAGGCAAGTCGGGCCAATGAACCACGGGTCCAGTAAGTCACGATGAATAGGCGGAACGACTTTTGTCCATGACAAGGATATTCGACGGACTTCATGTCAACGGCCGAACAGGCGAGGAGCGGTCGGGTTCCCGGGCTCGAATACGGCAAGGTTTATGCAACGCAAGGATTGTGGAGCGTGCTTGATATCAAAATGGCTGGTTGTCAATAGAAGCAAATGAATGACGCAGGAAAACTCCCAAAGGAAGCAAGGTCTGAGAGTGGCTTCTTTGAGACTGATTCTTAGCAAAACTACCACTACACTATCGTTTGAAGATCAAAGACCAGGGCATCCGAGCCGAGAGAAAGACACACTGACATAGGAAATCAAGGGTGCAAAGACTCTGTCACCATCAGACTACGCACATAGACACTAATTATGCCCTAATGGAACTCTTGAAGTGCGTTCTCCATGCCATGTCTGAGTTAATGACAGAAAACTTGCGCAACTTTAGGGCAACATTGGGATTACACCTGACGAGGGAACCCCGGCATCGGCTGCCGACTTGGTCTGCTCGTGTGGTGGGATGAAGATCCAGGTGCTATTCATTGTTGCTATCTCTTTGGCTTACAGCATAGCTCATTGCAGGTCTTGGCGGGGCAACCATTGTCATCTTTGTGCCGACTTTTGTGCCTGATGGGAAGGGGATGTTGAGTCATCTCTATTAAGGCATTTCGAACTTCCCTCAGCGAGGCTGACTTCGTTGTTGAATCTTTCTTCCCTTCTAAGTTTTTCTTCGCAGTTTGCCGCCTGGAGGCGTGCCTTGTTGACTGCCGTATGACTCTCACGGGGAAATATTCGAGGGCCAGGATGCCTGGGCTTCACAGAGAAACCTCTATGGCCACCTATGGGGGTATGTGAAGAGAGCGCGAATCGCCAGGGGGCAGGCATCTCCCTCTTCACACTACCACAACCCATTACACCAAAATGTGACTTCGTTGTTGATTCTGGCAGTGACAATCGAGCTTAATCTGAAATCCGTTCACACCCGGAACCTCTTTCCTGTCATCACCACAGCCACGACTATCTCCTCCACATACCTGGAATATGACCAGCAGCCCCCCTCGCCAGTTCTGAGATCAGTGGTTGCGCTTGCATTGTTCGAAGCTTTTTGGCTAGAGTGATTTATATGTTGATGGAGAAACCAACCAACTCGAGCTTACCTTCAATTTGATCTTCCAGCCTGGAGCCATGGATCTGTATGTTCAAGAAGACCCTCTCCGACTCATTGTATTCCTTTCTACCAGCACAGATATCTACACATTCGATGGCTACATCTTCACAGCTGACATAATTACACTTGGCAGATCACGGAGACACCCGCCACCAAGCAGTCGATGCGCTGACGATGAAGATGAATCGATGTGTCAAGAAGCTCACGGTCAGTACGACCCAAAGAATTCGATGTTATCCGATCTGCAGACTTCACGACGACCAGTGCTGTCGGCATATCGGGGCAGATGGCCACTTTTTCCGAGCCAGACCTCGTGTCCGTCGATGAAGCGGTCCGCGCAAGAGAATTGACGTCTCTCATTACCTGGGAATTTTCGCCATCTCGAGCATACATCAGCTAGTATCGACGAGACGCCATCTCTTGATGAAGCTGCCTGAAAGGCATGCGACCAAAGCAAATCCCGATACAGACAGCTTATGCAGGCTCTCTAGGAGGTCGACGGCGACTTCACTAAAACCAGATGAACGTCAGCAGATGTCGGAAGCCTTGTCGCAAAACCATACGACAAAGCAGCTCATCGTCAGCACGATGGAGAGAGATTGCGTGGTCTGCGGGCGGAGAGCAGTCAGGCAGGGTAGTCTCGTCCCGGCAACATTCCGGCCAGAGAAACAAGACAAATGGCTTTTTCTTATGGACCCGAGTGCGAAGCAGCTTCGAGTCCATCACCAGCACGCCAGGTGATGTGCTCTTTGCAGGCGAATACCATTCGGTCGAAACCGCTTCTGTTGTACTGCCGGGTCAAGCGCGGGCGTGGCCAGTCATGTTGCACTGTGAACGGACGGCAGCGGGAAGGCCTCCTATTGAGTTTTCTGCACATAATGCCAGCAAACGCCGCTAACAGCTTCACACCTGTCCAGCTTAGGTAGTCAGGTGCCTACCTTAGATATAGATATCAAAATTGTTCATTTCCATCTGCTCCTTCCTGTGTACTTTGTGCCGTGTCGGCTGTCGGTTGGCTGTGGGCGCTTAAGCTCCCCTAGTTAGCTGCCACCATCCCTGTGGCCCGGACCGAGCCGCTGTTATCTTCACGTAAGGTGCCTAGGTATACAAGTGCACTGAAAGCTAGGTACCTTAGGTAACTTACCTACCTAGGTAAATAATTATAGTTGAGCCCGTTCTATGGCTCCAATCCGATCAGGGGCCAGGTGGCTGGATAACGGGTTATTTGGCTTGGGGTGGCCTGCGATGCTGCCTTTGAGGCTGCTCCTGCCTCCCTTTTCACATGAGATCTCCCCGCGGTCAGCGTCAACCGAAAGATCCCATCCACTGCTTGCACTTTTCCATCGACCTCACCGCTCAGCCATCTGGCAATGGAATTGAACTGATGTCGTTGTCAGCGGGGTACGATGAGTGAAATGGCAGCCCGTAGCGTATTTCGGTCCTTCCAATCATGTAAACCCACCCAAGCCCCGTTGTTGGCAGCAACTGGCTTCGATCATAGCCTGGTACCCTACTACCTTTGGGTACCGAAGCTATTCAGTTAAAGTGGTATTAACCCAAGTTGCCTCGTACAAGGGCAGGACCAGTTCATCATCCGTCGTGGTGCTGCGGTGGATTGGCAGGAAGGGAAGGCATGCAGAGGAAGGCACTTACGCTGAACGCATGAACGCGGGGGCGGAATTATCGGGTCGCTGGAGTCGGGTGGATTTTGTGCGTATACTGCAAGGGTCTGATTGGCTAGATCGCTCGGCAGTTGAGAAAAGGTGGGTCTACCCCAGGCTTGGGTACCTAGATAGGGAGATCTGAACTTCGCGCCGCGTCCTGCGGAGTTGCTTTTTTCTCTTCTTTCTTCAACACAAACCGGCTAATTGAGTTCTATGCAATCGCTCCCACGCAGTTAAATTCAGTTTTCAGGGTATTCACAACAAGCACGAAGCTAACAGTCTGCAGATTCGGGCTTTCTTTTTGTTATGCAAACCGGCCTTGGTGTATTTGGCGGGGTTCTGCTTAAGCAAATTCCGTTTGTTACTCTGTAACAGTCATTTCCACCGAGGTACGGGGCTGATTTTAAGAGGTCCGTGTCAGTACGACCAAGGCGGGGATTTACTTCGGGTAGTAGGTAGTGACGTTGGAGAGAGAGAGAGAGAGAGAGAGAGACAGGTGTTTGGCAATTCGCACTCAGTAAGTCATACAACTCAAGCACAGCTTTGGAATCTTTCACTGACCTTGAAATAGCCAGAGCAGCATCATGCCTTCCAAGAAGAAGAACGGTGCTTCCAACTCAACGGGTTACCCACCATCCACGCTCAAACCCTGCGCCATCTTCGTTCACGATCCGTCCAGTCCTGTTTTTGCATCCGGCATCAACCTCGGCAATGACATCAAGATCAAGGCCAAGATCCGCCTCGAGACAACCAAAGGATACGAGCCCTCTATCACCCTGTTTCTGTATTTTCCCGATGGTACAGACAACGAGGACAGAGGTCACGGCGCACGTTTTACTTGTAATAATACTTCATGACACAGGCTTTTTGGTTTGACCCAATGCTGACACTTGCGCAGACAGCCAGGCTGAGGGGACATACCGCCCTTCTCCGGAGCTGCGGATTGGAATCCGATTTCGCCGTGAGAAGTGGACTCAGACGTTCGACGAGGCATCTCCCGAGCTTCTTGGTAGATTTACTCAGTTGAAGGGTGGACGGACGACGTTGATCACCTTTTCATCGGAGGCAGATGACAAGGACAAGGTCTTTGTCGAAGGTATGGGTATGCCTTACGTCAACAAATCGGAACCCGAACTTGAGCACTTCGTCAATGATAACGGCCGGCTCACTGGTGGTGTCAATTTTGCCGACTTCATACGCCGCAACACATTCCACGTGTTGGTCGAGCTTCAACCTCACAGCGCGAAGTTCTTCTTCAGCTTGGAGCAACTGCCACCGTCCTTCGACTACCCTTATGGCGCGCTTCATACTTTCGATGCTGAACGTTCCGCATTCATGATGGCCAAAAACCCGCGCGAGGTCGCGTACAACGTTGCCCATAGGTATCGTCACCTGTCAAACCGTGTTTCCGTTCAAAGGCTGATAACCTTTCATAGCTTCAAGAACGACAACGCGATGCAGACTGTGATGACGCAGTCATTGATTCAGGACTCGCTGTACGTGTGGAAACAGGCCCAGTGGATCGCCAAAACCAAGCTGCGCGCTTACTTTGTCCCTGTCCCCAATCGCGACGACAAGTACTATGCTATACTCCCCCTCCCAAAGGATTTCATGGACAAGTGCAAGCCTGCTTGGCAGCGCCTCATCGACTGTCAATTGTCTCTCGGAAAGTGGGAGCTTACAGACAGCAAGGAGCCCAGTGGATTCTGGTAAGTCGTGCCCATAAAGCTGATATTCCCTGCCATTAACCTCTGCAAGGAAATCCAATTTCATCACCTATACGGACGGCATCCAGGCTCTCGTGTCCCATCCTACAGGAGAGTCTGAAGCGGTGCTTGTCACATCGCGGCCGCCACCTGGGGAGGGAGGTAGCCAAGGCGATGTGTCGACTTTCCTCAGCCGGTCAGAGGCCAATGAAGCTGGCGATGCGCACTAGGACTGCGTCAGTCTCTGCTTCGACGACATCATGGCTGATACCGAGCGAAAGATTGCCGCCATCAACGACTTGTGCGAGTCCAACTCGGATCGCGCTCATCTCGCGCGACTCACAATGCGTGGCCAAGGCTACGCGGAGTGGATGATGCGGCGCCTTGTGCCTGCTCTTGTAGCTGGAGACCAGGGTGTAGCCGAGGTCACAGAGGCAATGGCGTGCGCCACGATCGATGAGAGTGGGCTTCCCTTCCGTCCCGTCCCCAAGATGTCATACCTTCCCGGTGGAGACGCTCGGTACGAGGAGTCTTTGGCAAGCATCTGTCTCCCAGAGGATCGACAACGTTGGCCTGTGTTTTTTCGTGAGGTTCTACTCGGACTGGCTATCATCACTGCGGTGTGTTATGTTCCTTGCCGCACGAGAGAGAAGAAGGCTAATCGATTAACAGGGCCCAGGCTACGGGAAGACCACCGAGATGGCAAAAAACATCCTTGCCATGGAGTACAGCTTTGGTCGTGTCTTCTGCACGGCCCCGTCTAACGTGGCCGTCACCAATCTCGCGGTCCGCGTCGACAAGATCACCATGGCCGTAAGCGACCGGCACAACGACAATATTCCTGGGGGAACGCCTCGAGCTCGTCGCAGAATGATAGTTCGTGGTTACAAACGAAAGGACGAGCTCGCTGCCTTCAGGAGTCTTCTGAAAGACCCGAAGCTCGGCGACGCGGCTGCCCCTCGTAAATTCGGTGGCCTTTCACACTGGCGCCTTGACTTGTCTTTGGCCTTTTGGGTTCTAGTGCTTCTACGGTCACCAGCTGTACGCGACCTTCACGAAGATGATAACGAGGAACTGCACCAGCTACAGCATGAAGTCGACGCACGAGAAGATTGGATCAGCCTTCGAGACGTGGCCACTGGAAGGATCTCATGGGACGCATATAACGGCAACTCCAGCTTTCCGCCAGCTCACATGCAGACCGTCGAGATCATCATGAATCAACTCGTGGCAATCGCTGACATCCTGGCCACCACACCAGCCATGATTGCCAATACCAATGAGGTCTACAAAAACTGGCGATCCGACGCAAAGGCCATTGCCATCGACGAGGCCGCGAACATGGATCGTGGCGACCTCATAACCGCCTGGGGTAACGAGATGTTGCCGTTGCTGTGTGGCGGAGATCCAGAGCAGCTTCCACCAACTGTTCTGACTGATCAATGCTCACTCGACACATCCGGTCACGTTCTTAACCAGTTCTCGAACGATGGCCGCGTATCTGCTCAGGGCTTCTTGATGGCAAGCGGTCACTCGGTCTACCGCTTGCGCTTACAACTCCGGACCGGCAATGGCCTTTTCGACATTGTCGGCAAGGTCATCTACCCGGACATCCCGGTGAGATACGGACCCAGCTGCGATATCAACCTGCCGAAGTTCGAGGTGGGACATCACCTAGAGGCGTATTGCAGAGAGCGCTTCTCCGAGTTGCTGGCTCCTGCGAAAGACAAATTCGCCCCTGTCTTCGTCCATTGCAGCGACACAGGCGTATACGTCGACTCCGTGACTGGGAGTAAGCGATCCCCCGACCAGGTTCGCACCGCCCTCTCTTTTGCCGCCGACTTCGTCACGAAAAAGTCCGTCGATGCGTCCAAGCTGGTCATTCTGTCCCCTTACAAGCAGAATGTCGCGCTGATCGACCGATGGAGCAAGCGGTACCCCGAGCTTGCTGGCATGCCTCCTCCGTCAACTATCGACGGCTACCAAGGGCAGGAGAAGGACATTGTCTTGGTTGTGATGGGCACCAAGGCGTTCAAACCTGGCCCTGGCTTCACGAAAAACCGCAATCGCCTCAATGTCCTCCTCACGAGGCAACGCTGCGGTCTCGTCATCTTCGGCGACATCCACGTCGCTGGATCGTTGAAGAATTCGGACTTCGGGACTTTGCCTCAATTGGACCTTCCTGCCATGTCTGCTTACAAGCCTGCGAAGGCCCCGTCATTTGGGGTACTGCGGGAAGCGGGGCCCGGCAGGTCATCTGCGCCAGAGATGTATAGGATCTGGCTACTGCTGTGGCAGAGCGGCAGGGTCGTCACCACCTCTGTCAAATGTGCCTCCAATGACCTCATAGGAAAGAGCACAACCAAGCCTGCTGAAGTCAATCTGGAGGAAGAGGCGGTCAGCACGGTCGCCGACGACGAGACAGAGGAACCCGCTGTCGAGGCCCCTGCTGAGGACGTCGTCGATTCCGCCCAGCAACTGGCATTAGCCGACGATGGGAACGACTACATGTTCTCGGAGGACGAGGAGGATGAGAGCGATGATGTCGAGGAGGATGAGAGCGAGAGTGAGGTTGCGGAGAAGGCTGAGGAAGAGGTCAAGGAAGAGGTCGACGCAGAGACCAAGGAGGAGGCCAAGAAGCGCGAGGAGAAGAACGTCCTCCCAGACATGACCTTTGACGCCTTCAGCGTTGATTTTGACATTTAATAGAACCCTGCCTGTCCCGTATCAATGAAATGCTTTCAAGCAACTTGATTGATGGTGAGTAACATGTTTACTGTCAATGTTGGCAATGCATAGAACGCTGCCCGAAATAAAGGGACCTACACTCCGAGGTCAAGTAATCAAAGAAAAAACTTGGGAGTAAAGCCTTTGATTTCCTGCTCCTGCTCGTTTGCTTTGAATCAATCCGAGCACTCGCAAACAGATAATCCTCCCTTCAACTTGTCCCCTTGTCCCTGTCGCTCGTCCAAGCCGACAATAGGATAAATCGAATTTGCTAAGCTGGGAAGTTGGAAGGAGGGGTCGCCCGGCTATTTTGCAGATGCTCCTCTGCCTGTGCTCGTGGAAAGGTGTTCGGGGTTATTCCTCTGCTTGTGCTCGGATAAGAGATGATCTTTTTCGTATTTCCTCCGTCGGTCGGGATCAGGATGTCAGAAACGAGCACGCGGCAGATGGGCTGACGCCAGAGTCTAACTTCGCCGACCAGTTCGGATGACGCGATGGGGATACTCGACGACTTCGTGAGGTTGGCAGAATCGATCGACGAGTTGAGTGAGGAAGAGAAAAAAGAGCTCCTTGTACCAGCGCGCGAGGGCTGACCGTGTAGCGGCGCGTAATGAAGGCAAGGTGGTGAGGCACAGTGTGGCCGAATGGAGTCAGCAGGCGGATCAACATCTTCCTGGTAGCATCGAACAGACGAAACTCTGAGTGATATCGTGGCAAAGCTTGCTCTTCTCAAAACTCAACTACTCAATCGCCCTCACCTCACGCAAAAAACTCCCCCTTGCCTCAAGGCTTCTGAAACCTAGCTCAGGAACTACCTCCGGCGGCTCTTTTGCAAACTCTTTTGCAAAGAGTCAGGTTAAATTCGCAACTGCGTAATCTGTCGCGTCGTCTAATTTCTCCCCAGACAACTTTGATCGCCTCTGCCATATGTTTAGTGAGTATTTTTGAGCAGGTACTTCTATTGTCTCTGCGCTATGAGGCACTTTCCGGGCCCGCGGTGCGCTGCCGAGGGTGTCGTTGGCGACCTCCGGCGTAGTGGGGTCGAGGACAGGATGCAAGTCGTCGGCGGCCGCTCTTTTTGGCTTCTTCCGGCGTACTGACAATTCTTCTAGATCGACGTCGTCGTCAAAGGCAGCGGCAGGTAGATTCGCCTCGCCTTCCCCTCCGATTCGAGCCCCGGTCGACAACTCGCTCGCCAGTTGCAACGCCATCCCGTCTACGAAACGGAAGCCATCCATGCGGACTGGGCCTTCTTGAGGCCCTTGTAGCGCGGAGCAAGGCATTCGAGGTCTCGTCAGGCTCATGTATCACTCCAGAGCCATCGCCGTCCCTCACCCCCGACTTCAAGAAGGCCTTGACTTTGCGGTAGCCCCCCCCCGCGTCGCAGGGTCTTGTACTTGTTGGATAGTGTGGCCAATGTAAAGTCAGGCAAGTTCCAGCTTGTGTCCGGCAACACGTTCCCTATGGCCTACCTTACGACGAAGTATTGATCCATATTTTCAGGAAGCATCTGAGGCAAATCCTACCATAACTCCTCACCGCAAAAACCAAAAAGCGGCAAGTACTCAAGCACCACTGGCGACATTGAAAAGGTAGGCATCGATGTTGACTCAGTCCGCATTTAGCGATCATCTATTTCCAGCGACTGAAGATCTCTAACCCTAGCAACGGTTCCCCCAAGTCCGTAGACTTCACTCTGTGAATGAATTGAAGGCCTCTGTTGTTCGTGTTGGTTTCTCCAAGTCCGTTACTGTCCGCATCTGCTCTGGTGCGGATCAATACTCCTCCTCTATTCTCCTTCGCGACTTTCCCTCAAAACCACAACACTTCCCCCTTTCCTCCCCCTTAACGAACCGAAACTGCAGGCGAGGACGGTGGGTGGGATGAACCACCTTCGTGCAGGCTAAGCCCCGAAAAGCCCGGCAGCAGTTTGTGCGCGTCTGCCAGGACACCAATACTCGCACGCTTCTGATGAGATGGCATAGCCTGAGAATTCTAGTCTCGAGGGGCTGCTGGCTGCTGCTCGTCTTGGTCTTTGCCACTTCCTTTCGAGCTCGCAGACGAATCGTCGCTGGCATGCTTGTGTCGAAGATGGGGCGCAACCCAAACTTCGCGAGACTCGGTCGAGTTCTGAGAGGGCACCCCTTCCGCTTGGCAAGAGCCGGATGGAGTGTTGGAAGAAACTGCTTCGGCGTGGGTGATCTCCAGCTCGGCTACCGCCTTGACCATCCTCTCCTGGACCTTCCTTTGTCTCTCGGCATCGTAAACTCCGCCTTCTTGGTCATCCTCGGCAAGAATTTGCAGGATGCGCCGTTCCGCCTCCATCCTTGGGTCGGCACTGTATACGAGACCATGGTCGTCCTCGTCGTAGTCAGTCCAGGGGCGGTAGACTCTTGGATCTGCGCCTCCGCAGAGACGGTGGAAACAGAGAGCATTGAATATGAACTCCATAATTCCCCAGTCCGGCAGGTCCTCCTTCTTATCTGCCCAAATCGTGATTATTGTCCCCGAGTTGAGCGGCCGTCCAGATTCAGACCGGAATTCATAGTTCTCGGCCGACCATTCTCTCATTCTCTCCCTCGGGTCGACGCTAAAGTCTTCCACTTTGTCCCATGGTGCCCTTAGATCGGTCTTGGGCAGCCAGTAGGCGCACACTTTGAGGCCGTACTGCGTGCCCTCTTCTGCCTTTTTCTCTTTTTCCCGCGCCCGGGTCCTGTCGGCCTCGGCCTCGGCCTCGGCCTTTCTTTTCAGGTCCTTCTCGAGGAATCTCTCAGACCTTCGGCATGGACTCTTCATAGAGACAGCAACGTTCTGGTCGGCTGTCTGCAAGCCTGCGGATGTAGAGCACTCAGCTTGTCCTTGGCTGTGGCTACTATCGGTAGCCGGTTCGGAATTCATCGTGTGGGACTCTGAAGAAGATGCGCTCGACTCAGGCTTGCGTCGCTCAGTATATCCGACTGGCTTCAGACCAAAGATGGCATCGTCCATATAGGTATGCAGCTTATGGGTCAGAGTGACCATGTTGCTGATGTCGTCAATCTTGTTTTTGGTGCCAGTGAGCTTTTTCATTAGGTCGCGGAAAGCTTGTGGCCCGATGAGGACTTGCATGCAATGTAAAAGCCGTCCAATGGCAGATTCGCGGTTGGCGCCAAAAAAGGCGGCCAAATGGCAAACCTGGAACTTGTTACACCCGGTGGCCACACACTTGTTGCCGTCGCGATCGCTAGCCTGCGCAATGACGGTTAGCCACAATCGCATAGAACCAGGGTTGAAGAATCTTCCGTACATCTTTCGCCTTCTTCGGATCACGGGAGATGTTTGCCTCCTTCTCGCCAACTTGGCCTGCGCAACAAGTGGCTGCGATATAATGATTCATTAGCACCCATTCGTACGTGTGAGACTCTGGCCTTTGGCTTTGCTTACCGTATCCTCCGTATTGGCCCGCGTTTAGGACAGCTTGCTCAAGATCGTTGCCCATTTTGAGTCTGCCATTTGAATCCTGCGGGTCGCTTGCGCACAGGGTATGGTGAATGTATCGGAGCTCGTCGATCCCAGTTGTCCACAGTAGCGCCCAGAAACGGGCCTGCCTGAAAAGCTCTTGATGTTCCTCTTCGAAGTTGAAACTCGCGTCCGCCAACAGAATTTCCTGAATGTCGCTTATGTAACGTCTTCGGATATCGATCTCATCCTCATTCAAATAGCTGACATTTTGGCGCTTGTCAACTTTGATATCTTCTTGAGCGAATTTTCGCAATGTCGTAGCGTCCAGTCGCGTGCCATGTTTGACAAGGTAGCCAAACACCATCATCGCGACTTCTTCAGCCTCCTTGCGTTGTATTCCGCTTGCGTTGATTGACGCCATGGGGTGCTAGGGCGAGAAACGCGAATGGTTGTTCTGGGGTTGGGGATTGGAAGGTGACTGGGAAAGCACGACGGACGCCCTTTTTCAAATGAGCAACCAAGAGTAGAAGGTACGTTTAGGGCATACGGGTGTTCCTTGCACGCTTTGAATAAGCTTTTGTTTTTTGAAGGGGCCGACCTTGGTGGCAGACCGACAAAAACTCTGATGGCGTCCCGTGAAAAAGGAAAAGATAACAGAAAAAGAAGGAAGAAAGTGAGAGGGAGCAAATCGCTCCACACATGCGGCGCAAGCATGGTACTTTCAAACAAAGCCTTTTTTCTGAACGACATTCTTGGTCAAATTCCTACACCCTGTGGCGTTGCCTTGTCCCCGCCTCTGGGCGCGGAAAGCTTGGACTTTGTGGCCAGATAGGTTTACATACAGTTCAAATTCTGCTTCAAGGATTCAGGAAATTTGTTCACAACACCAAGTACTCAACCCAGTCTTTTTTGAGAGTCTCGCACCTGCTCATTCTGCACTGACCGAAGAATACACAGCGGGAGCTCATTCCAGAGCAGATGGACCCCAGAGAACACTATATGAAGGAAAATGCAGGGTAGAAGGGCGCAAATACTGCCTCTTATTGACCACTAACACAGATACTACCAATACCTGACCACAACTTTTCAGAAGCATCTCTCATACCATGTCAAACCTACCACACTTTCAACATGCTGATCGATGACCGAGATTGCAGGTGAAGATTCCGCTTATGGTGAGCCACCTGGTCCACGCTTATATGGAGTCGTAATCAGAGGCAGATTGTGAGGCGAGTAGCAAACGGCCAAGTGCCACATAGATGCAAAGTTGAGAGACAGGCTGTGAGGCAGATGGCGAGGCGAGCAGCAAACGGCCAAGTGCCACATAGTTGCAAAGTTGAGAGGCAGGCGGGCGGCCGCGGGCGGGCTGCAAAGCCTCTCGTATGAACAGCATGTAGTCTATTATCATGATGATTGCGATGTAAGCTAGTCTTTGAACAATTCCTCTGAAACAACAACACAGAAAACAAAACGTGAAGCAAATGCACCAAGCAATACCACTTCAATCGTCTGAATCACTTGGCATCCATGCCTCCATATCATGAGCTTCATCCTCACGCACGCCTACAGCTTCAGGCTCCCACTCATCATCCATGTCCCCTTCATAATCAACAACGCGCCCAAGCTCAAGGCTTGCATCATAACGGCTAAGGATCAAGTCCTCATTGGCATAAGTCTTGGGCAGATGTAGATCGCTCACGATCCTCTTTAAGGTTGGGTACACATTCGCCGGGTACTCCCATTTCAGGAAGTTGCTTGTTCTAGATTCGATTAGGATATTATTGTTTTCATTGATGCGGTCTGCGTTGAAATTGTTGGGATTAGGCTTCTAGCCCGTCCTCATTTGTTGACCGTGAACCTTGTGGGCGACGACAAGGCACAAAGGGTTGTGGTAGTCGAGGACTAAAGGCAGTCCCAGAAACTCCCGGTATTCGCCCTGGAGCTTCATCTTGTTCTCGAAGTCTTGATCATCATTGTCGATGACCATCCTTCCAACACAGACCTGGAAGATCATCTCCAAGAAAATTGTCATTGCGTTGTCGATCGTGGGCCACTTGCGATTGCAAGCAGTCGTCATGCGCTGCAGTCGCTCGTCCGCGAGGATATAAGTGGTGACCCACGACCAGTTTTCGGGTCTCGCGCCTTCATGTGCGAAATATGGGCATCCATCGTATTTCGGCAGCTGGATGCCCGTCCATTCCTCAATCTCGCAAACAATTCTGGTGATGGTTGCGCGTTGGCTCGTTGACCAGCCACATGTTATGCGTTTTCCGGACGTGTGAATCCATCGCCGAATGAACTGCTGCTGGCTTCCAGGGTGGAGTTTGCCAGACACCCATTCTTCTTTCAGATACTCCAGTTGTTTGCTGTCGATCTTCATTCGCATTCGTTGGTCCTTCCGGTAAGGCACCTTCGTTCTGATATCGGTATACTGACGACACTTCTTGACCATGTCGCACTGCAGAGCTGCCAGCTGGTGCAAAGCTGACCCGTTGCCAGACTTGATCCTTTGTTCCAATGCTTCGTACTCTCTGCGGAATTGTCCCAGCGCGTTCATGAACACAGGTAAACTGGTATGCTTGCAGTAGTTCAGTGCGATTGGAATAATGCACAGATTGTCCGCGACATGAACACGTGCGTTCCCTTGCTGATCGCGACCGAAGGGAAAGATGGCGTCGATGCTAAACATCAGACAATGGCAAGTCTCAGCTGGAGGAATCTCTTGATTCCCGCTGAAAGCGTTGACATAGGAGGTGCCGCTGTGACCGGTTGTTTGATCCTTGAGTGACAGGATGGCTGTGCTGATGAGGTCCTTGGTGTGCTGGTTTCGAGGCAGATGAGAAAGCTTGAATTCGAGGTAAACGGCTCTCGTAACAGACTCAGGAATTGTTCTCTCGACAGCAGACGGTAGCTTGCCGGATGATGAAATACAACTGGGACATGCGCGGTATCCGTAGACATGCTGGTCCTTGTCCTGGCAAAGCGAGTCCTTTCCACACTGGCCACAGACGTGGAAATTGACCAGACGCGACGCAGTGTCGCAATGGCAGGTACCTGGGGATGGTTCGCCGTTTCGAATCCTTCGGTTTGTTGCATCGACTTCGCGAGCAATGACGATCCAGGTCTGAAGGATGTCGCCAGTGGCCATCTAAGCTCTAATAGCGGCGTCTCCAATTGGTTCTGTCCATGCTCTGTCTTTCGAGCCGACAACAAACGCAGGTATTCCCGGGACATCCTTTTCGACCCGGCATCCAGGGATAATCAGCCTGTGGTTTGGCCGTTCCTCCATTCCAAAAAGCCTTGAGAATTGCATTTCTCCAGGATAAAGTCTGTGACACCGATCAATTGAGCTAGACGGCGCGAACTGAGAGACCATTGTGGTCTTGAAAGCATTGGTGGTGGTGTTAGAGCAGACGATGGACCTGTTCCGCATCCATGTCGCTGCCGATAGACGCATGAAAGCATCAGTCCGTCGTAATTTGAATGCCGTCTCTGGATCCAGCCCTTCGGGGACTTTGACTTCGATGACAGGAACGTCACGGTTGGCTGTTGACATATTTAAACTGTCATTGTGCTCCCGATGACCAAACAAGACTTTGAGGTTGTCTGCAGAAGGAATGGAAACGTCAGGCAGGTTGTCCACGTTCTGCTTCCATTTCCAATACTGTATACCCCACGTCAAAGGGTCGATACGTGGAAGTACAGTGACAAATGAATACTTTATCTTGAGTCTCGAGCTTGGCTCATGCGTCAACGCCGGAGTGCCGGATCGGATCGGTTTGTCGGGGAAGAGGTTTCGAACAACCAAAACAAAGAGTGCCCTTGTGGCCGGGATGTCGCACACTTGAGCGATTTTTGAAGTGAGTTTCGAAACGTCAGGCCATCTGTTGAGAGCGTCCACCAGTTTCTGGCAGATCTGCAAGCATTCGGATTGCGTAAAGTCCCGCGGATGAACTCGAAACATAAAGAGATTTTCGCCAATCCTCTTGGCCCGCAGCTCCCAGAGGTCAACTCCCATGTTGGGTGACCTCTTCATCACAACGGATGCACGGTAGTCTCGGCCAGCAATCGGCTGGCGGTCGTAAATGAATGACAATTCGTCGACGGGGATAGGCACAGTTGGGGACGCTTGTGAAGCTATCGACTCCCCAGCCTGTCGGATGACTTTCAGGTTCAGGCTGTGGAGTCTTCTCTCACAGTATCCTACCCCGTTCATCCAAGTTCGGCCGAGACCTCTGTTCCATTCGTCGACGTCGGTGACTTCGTCCTTCTGGGACAACCTATGCTTCTTCGGAGGCGAGGGGGTAGAGAACGATGCCGAGTCGGAGGAGGAACGTGGATGTGATGATGCTGCGAAACAGGTCAGAAACAGGTGGCTATGGCTAACATTGAAGTACGTACGAGGCAGAAATCCCGCTGCTACTGGTTCTGACGAATTGCTGTCGGCAGCTGAAGTATCAAAATCGTCTTCCTCGTCGGCATTTCGCTTTCTGGGAACTGAGGCAGATGGCGATACGTTGACAGGCGACGACTGGACGACGGTGCCAGATTTGGCGCTGGATACTTTTTCGTATTGTTAGATATGTACACGTCTCTAAGCATGGATCACTCACTCTCAGACGGGTCTTGCTTCCTTGACATTGCCGGAGACTCCGATACTGGTGTTGCTGAAGAATGCTGAGTTCGAGAGAAGAAACTCGTGATCGTTCTCTGAGCTGCGGTTGGGGCCGCGCCCTTGGTGGCTCGCTTTGAAACTATGGAGATCTTTTGAGTGCAACCCAGAGACAGCAACGCGACGAAACCTACCTTTGGGCGCCATGGCGCTTTCCCTCGGTATGAAGCTACCGCAGAAGGATTCGGAGATACTAGTCGTATTGTCCTCTTACCATTTGTTCATACACCGCAAATGGGCGACAACAAGTCTACGCGCAAGACCATGCAGCCTAGGAATCGTAAAAAGAATCCCACCGGTAATAAGATATCAGAACGAAGGGAGATTGAAACAATGTATGGTACTTTGACAAGGTATGACGAGCACGGCTTCAAGCTTGAGACGAGTGAAGTACAACACAGCCGAACAAAAACGAAGCCTGACAGTGACGCTCAACCGTCTCGTTGGTGTGACGAACTTCGAAGTTGCAGAAGAGAGGAAGAGGACAAGACGCGACGACGGTGATGGGATTCTAATACTCGGACGCGTGGAGTCGCACGCGACTTTCGACGTGACGCGTCTCGGCAACTTGCCTAAGGCTCTATCTTGGTATCAGTCGAACAAGATAAGACTGGTAAGGTACCCATGAACGGGTTGTGGCCTGCGCCTTCCCACGCACTGGAGGTGTTTCCCTACCTTCCAGCAGGGCACCCCCAGACCACCTTCTGAGGCAATTCAACCCCCAACTGTCACCTCTGCTATGTGATGAT